AGAGAGAGAGAGAGAGAGAGAGAGAGAGAGAGAGAGAGAGAGAGAGAGAGATGAGTCTATATCCTTGCCCATGCAGTGAGAATGAATAATTTATCATCAGCTGTTTTCTACAGTACTCTACTCACCGTTCTTTTCCCTGTCCGGGGTCTGCTGTCGTGGGCGCTGAGCTATTGCAGTTACTCTGGTCAGTGTCCTCGTTTTCCACTTTGATCTCTTGGTCTGCACAGGGCGGTGCATAAATCATGTTGCAGCTCTCCAGACTTTTTTGGTGAACAATAAGATCCAACGCCCCAGTTATTTCTGAACCACACCTGTGGCAATCGAACACATCTTCTTGATTATGGTTCAGCTCCATATGGCGAAGCAGCTCGGCTGAATCAGTTGAAGTAAAAGAACACTTCCAACCACCAGAAAATTTACCACCACAGACAAACTGGCAGCAGGAATTAAGGTGCATAGCGTTCAGGTGACGAAACAGACTGAGCTTTCTTATGCTCTTGGAGCATAGTGCACACACTATGCTTTCTATTTCACCGTGGTTTTCATTCAAATGCGCCAACAGGCAAAATTCTGTGTCACAGGAAATCGCACAAACAGGACAGCTGAACTGAGCGAATAAACCATGTTTGGAGTCTTTTGGTTTGCCTTGGTTTCCATCATATTCCCAAGAGAAAACGACAGACGTATTCTTCATCATTTCCATACCGCATAAAAGGTTGTCCTGTGCGTTTGAGACAGAGTCCAATACTGTAGCCGGAGGATTGTGACCAATACTTTTGGTGTTGTGAACAATACTTTTGGTGTTGATGGGGTTTTCTCTAACGCATGAAAAGCCTGAAAAATCACGAGTATCTTGGCAATCTATGGTTTTACTTTCAGGAGGAACCACCGACACATGGTTGTGCCGTCCTAAATCGCCAGCAACATTGTTCTTACAGTCTAGTTTTTTTGCATGTTTATTTTTTGCCAATTCCTTGCCCAATACACAGACGCCTCGCTTCTTGGTCCGGTTTTCAAGTTGCAGTGTACCCAAGACGGATTTCCCCTGCTTTTGAGATGGCACTTCTCGCAAGGTCTCCTCTGGTTTTACTTCACAGGAACGCCCTAAAGAGTGCTGGCGTCTGGCTCCGTCTAAAGCAATTGCATCAATACCAAAAGTTTGCTTCTGAACGGCTGCAGATTCAGTTAGAACATCGGAGGTAGTGGGTCCTGATGCTTTAACAGAGGTGACTTCATATCTGCGTTCGTCATTTGTTGTGAGATAAATAGAGGGTTGGAGACTTTGAGTAGATATAGGTTGTTTTTGGATTTTCTGTGACAGAAAAATTGTGGGACTCTCGTTTCGCTGTCTTTGAACCGACTGGTCTTTCCGAATCTGTTGAAGTTCTTCTTGCAATGTCTTTTGGACGTTGAGTACACGCTGACGGCTATCTAGCACTGGCAGAGGCCCTTGCGGGTGTGCTTGGGATATGATCGGGCATGGCTGTGCCTTCTCAATCACAGTCTGAGGCAAATGTGCGACGGCAAACCTCGGTTGTGCTATGTCTTTTGCTTGCGGCTGTTGTAGTTTCGCTGGCGCAAGATCCACAGAACATACCTTTTTTCGGTTCTCATATTTTGGTGGGTGACAACCACCTACTGAAGATTTCTGAGGAACAAAACTGATCTGCTGGTCTTTGCAATAAGGTGTGGGGTACGGGACAGTCGTTTGTGTTCTGTGACTATCTTTTTCAGAGCGGGGAGAAAATGGTGCCAGGAATCGTCTTGAAGGTGGCACATCTCGAGTAGGAAAAGTTTGAGGATCTTTGCAAGTCTGTTGAGGGGGTAATAAGCCTGATTTCATTTGGTTTGGGTGATATGCTGACTGATAATCTTTAGAGTTAAAGCCATGGCGGTTCATGCTGTTTGGGTGAGACGTCCCCGTGTACCATGTTGATGAAAGACGTAGGTGGTCTATATGGCATTCATGAGAAGCAACGATGTGTCCCTGAAAGTGCTCAGAATAGGAGTTTTGATAGTTGCCTGTAGGCCATCTCGCAGAAGACGGATCTCGGACATGTGTGTAAAATTGTTCCGGATATGGCTCTGGAAAACTGCTTGTCGGCAATCTAGGGGGAAAAGAAGATGAATCAAGTGGGTGGCTTGTGTGGTATTCAGAAGCACGGGTGTGTCTGTCAAACTGTTTCGGAAAATGTATGTGGTATTCAGAAGCACGGCTCTGTCTATCAAACTGTTCCGGATAATTTGAGTGGTATTCAGAAGCACGGCTGTGTTTGTCAGACTGTTCCGGATATGGTTCTGGAAAGCTGTTTGTGGGCCATCTATCACAGAACAAAGATGAATCAAGTGGGTGGTCTACATAGCTTTGAGAAGGACGGGTGAGTCTGTCAAACTGTTCGGGATAAGGCGCTTGAAAGTTGTTTGTTCGTCTAACGACGTGAGCAGGAGGATACGGTGGCGGGGCCCTGTCTTTTGATAAACCAGGCGGCACTTGAGAAAACGGGACTTGCATCCCGGAGGAAGTCCCTCTCTCCCAGGCCATCTGCATCATTTCTGTAAGTATGAGAGCAACAAGGTGGACAGGTGGACACTAGACGTCAGGTCACGTGCAGTCCTCACGAACTGGTACAAGGCAAACCATTCATAGAACCTGGCTGAATGATAGATGACAGCAGCTTCCTTGGGAAGAAATCTGGGAAAATGAAAGTTTGAAGAAATGTTTAATGCTGTTAATTTGCCCGCTCAACAGAGGAATAAAAGAAAGCGGCATTTGGTTGGTGAAAAGAGAAGGAAATCCACACAATATAGGTCAGCTGGATATAATGTTCAATTGGAGCCTTGTTTTTGGAGTCACTTTAAAAAAAAAAAAAATCTTGTCTGGGTAGTAAAAGATGACCGAACGTGATAGTGTGTAGTTTGGATTTTTTTGTAGATTGTAAAGTTTGGTCGAAAATGTATAAAATTTTGTTTGTTATATATCTAAATATTATGACCAATGTGGTAAAGTGGGGTGGTTCGAATTGTATTCTAGTTAAGGAGGGTTGAAAATGGAAGTGTAGACTTAGAATTCCTGGTAGTAAAGGACCAGAAAAAGTAAACGGATGGCGAGCTTGAACAATGATAAAAATAGGAACATGGAATGTCAGCGGCCTTGGAGACAAAGAACCATATATACAGTGAGTTTCATGGCAGGAAAGAAAATAGTAAATAGCAATCATGGGCTATTCAGACATAAGGAAGAGAGGCATACACAGCAAGCTGACCCATAAAGCCTGCCTCCTGATCTGGAGCGGAACATCTGAACATGAGAGAGCCAAACATGGTGTAGCTTTCATCATACACCCAGCCAAAATGGATACAATCTACGAGATAAAATCTCATGTGAAATCAACCAGATCTCAGAGAGAAGAAAGCGCATAAAAGTCATAGAGGGTGGCAAAACAACAACGTACATCCAAACATACGCTCCTTGCAACAACAACTATACAGAAGAAGATAGACAGCCATGTTTTCAAGACCCGAGTGACCACGGTAACACCATCAAAAACAAAGAAGATATCATGTATTTATCTTGGGAGATCTAAATGGCAGAGTTGGACAAAGAAGAACACCCAGGGAAGAGTACTTGGGACGCCACAGAGATAAAAACACAGACTGCAACAGCAATGGGGAAATAATAAAAAACCTAAGCGCTGAGTACGACATGATGATTACGAACACATTTTCCAGCACAGATCAAGCCAAATCAAGAGATGGTACTGATGGAATGACCTGAACCAAGCATCACAAATTGATTTCATCCGGATGAGCTGAAAACATAGACATACAACCAAAAATTCGAGAGCGGTCCCAAACTACATCATCGACACGGACCACAGAGGTGAGATACTTACTCTCACAACCGGCAAAAGCAAACAAAGAAGAACAGGGGAAAAACCACGACCAACCTAAAAAAATTGGAAGAACCAGACATCAAGAAGGCAATCGAGGATGGCATTACCAAAACAAAAAGTACAATAAGCTATCGCCGGAGATCAAAGACGTAGAAGAAGAATGTCAAATATTTTATTTAAAAATCCCAGTCAGAAATACTGAAAAACAGTCGTGGCACCAAACAAATTATAGGCAGAAACAAAGGAGGAACAACAAACTAGAGGAATTACGAAACCAAAGAAGCAACTAAATTAAAAAGAGTGCATTCAAGAAATGGCAGAAGTCAAAGACCGAAGAGGACCATAATATAGAATACAGAAAAGCGAAACAAAAGCCCAAAAAGAACCATTCAAAACTGCTAAAGAAAATGCATGGAAAATGTATGGCGAGAAACTGACCAAACTCTGCAAAGAAAATCCTGAAGAGTTTTATAAAAGTGTGAGCAGCATGCGGGAAAGGAAAGACCCATACAACCCGACATGCATTATAAACGATCAAGAGGGCAATGCAATTCTCAGCAAGTATGCCATCAAGAAAAGATAGGAAAAATACTTCTTACAACTATTCAACCCAGACGCTTGCCACGGACAACAAGAAGAAATCCAACCATCATGTGGAGAGCAAACAAAACCACACATACTTTTCAGATAAATTAATTAAAATGGCACTCAAAACTGGCTCCCAGAACAAAGCCCCGGGACCAGATGACATCACAGTGGAAGCCATCAGAGCTTATGGAAACACCGGTGTACTGTGGCTGAGGCGATTTTTTTTTATAGAGCCTGAGAACAAACAGAAATACCCAGAAGACTGGCAGAAAGCTATAGTGGTCCAATTATGGAAAAAGAAAGGCAACATGCGCGATTGCACAACGTACAGGGATAACATATGCTAAGATATTAGAGCAGCGGACAGCGGATAAGATCTATTGTACAGAGAAATCTGAGCGAAGCTCAGTTTAGATCCCGAAAGGGAAGACGAAGCATGGATGCTGTATTTGCATTACGACATCTATGCAAGAAAACCATTGAACACAAAAAAGAAGCCAACATCGCTTTTATAGAGCAGGAGAAGGCTTTTGACAGAGTAAACCATGCACAACTCTGGAAGGAAGAAAAGTATGGCGTCGGGGGACAACTGTTAGATGGTCAGAGTTCTATAAATACCAACAGCAGAAGCTCAGTAAGAACGAAGGAAAGCAATACAAACTGGTTCAAAGTAGGCTCTGGAGTACGACAGGGATGCTTTGTATCTGCCCTTTTGTTTATAATATATATGTATATATATGGACACAATAATGCAAAAGGCGGACCAACTGACAGAAGGCCAAAAAGAATTTCTATTCGCAGACGACCAATATCTAATTCATTCAAACCAACAAAGCCTCCAAAATCTTCCTACCGAACTGAACAACAGCTGCAAGAAATTTAAAATGAAATAAGCACATCAAAAACAAAAGTTACGAAAGTGAGTCAAAACCATAGCCTCCTTAACATCCATGTCAATAGTAAACAGCTGAAACAGGTGAAGGAATTTAAATATCTTGGCAGCACTTTTTTTTAAAAACGGGTCCATAGACAGAGATATAAAAATGCGAACTCAAAAAGGCAACGCAGTCACCTACCAGCTCGCACCCCTCCTACCTTATCCAAACATCTTCATGAACACATAGACACAAAGAGACAGCTTATCACTTCAATATTCATACCAACATTATGCTACCAGTGCTCTCAGTATTACATTGCGTTGTTTGTTAAAACAATGCCTCCCAAAGTGTATTTTCGTTGTTTTGAAATTTAAAAAGGCACACACAGCGACCTCCATACTTTACTGAGAGAATAATCAGTGATTCGTCAATCTTATGTCACCGATATCACGAAAGCGGTGTTACAAAAACAATACGAGTTGCAGAGGTGGTACGCTCCATCTTAGGCTACGAAAGCCACACACACACACACACACACACACACACAC